AAATGGAAAAGCATACTGTGATAAAGGTTGGCCTTTGCTCAATTCTCTCCCAACAACCCATGGACTGTGAGCCTGGACTGATGCTACATTACACGTGTATCCTTCTTGCGTTTCCTTTTACTTTTAACAACTTACACCTTGTTAAATAAAAACAATAACCCATAACCAATAACCAAAAAACAAAATGAAGAACGTCAGCATTCATTGTGCTTGAGACAGCTACCATTTTATGTCACCGTTATTTTAAATGGTGTGGTTTACTGTTTACTTGCGAGGTATCACGCTCGTGACCAAAGTCACGCTTCAAAAAGAACTTAACTTTAGCGCAAACAATGAATGCAACGATGAAGTCATACATTTCAGCACTGAGCCAAATAATACGATTGTTCGAGAATTGGGGAAAGTAAACAACAAAAAACAAAAATAACGACTTCCTTTTCCACTAATTTCAGTATTCAGAAAAACAAGAACAATATTGTTTATATGGTTTATAAAATTTCACTCACGATCGACCTACCGTAACTGTAGCCTCAAACGACTACGTGATATTTACCATCAGTCGTTATATCCGTGTGAACCAAGCCGGGTTGGAAAAAAAATGAGGAAATCGATCAAATTTCATTATTCTAAAAAATAACTGGTCTGTTTAAAAGGATCTTTGAACCTCTAGATTAATACGAACATGCCAATACTTTGTGGATAGCAAAAGAACGAGGGAGAGAGGAACCGTCGAACATCAGAATTACCTTCAGCCTAGTATGGGAAAGGTAGGTCATACATAATCTCATAATGAGTGAACAGTCGGCCCAACTACTCTTGACTTCTTTTAATGGATATCTCAGTGCACTTTTGTTGGTATGACATAACATACATAAAATAACTCGCTATTGGACAGACCAATGAGAATAGTGACCGAACAATACCGTAAAGAGGATGTGTGCCCGCCAAACCCACTCTATATACCAGTACATCGCTAAAATACCCCAACAGTCGGCTCACTTCATTTTAACTCTCCGGAAAACGTAGACGACAATTTGTGTTGATTTACCTGTTCAGGTTCCGACAAACTGACCTCCGATTTTATGTCGAGTTTGGTTGCTCCTTACAATGATCGTCTGAGTTATTCTAAAGTTGTACAATGCAATAATCGTAAGCCACCGCAGTGGTGGGTCACACTGGGTGTTATAATCGTTGAAGGCAACTGCAGTACCTGAATATAGCGACAAAAGCTTTAATGGTGCCGAGGTGATTCAAACTTGAGACGAATTGAAGAGTCCCAAGACGAACCCCCATGCACACGAAACATTGTATAAAACAGCGGCAAAACTAGTGAATCTATGCCTTCCTTATAACCCAGGGGGTCTATGTCAAATTTACCACGGCGCGCATGAGCTTAACCATATCTGTCACATCACGCCAACACCTTTCTAAAAAAACCCCGGGGTTCACCTTGCTGAGCTTAAGGCATTGTAGCAAAAGTTATGTGCACACAAAGAGCGTAGCGAGGTTACAATAGGGTACTTCAACGGCTTGTTGAAGGCGTTTCCGTGCACATTTAGTTTCATGTTTTCCAAGTCCGTTTACCTCTAGCACCTGCTAGAGACTATTCATTTAAATGCTCACACAGCTGTCCACATAACAACTGAAGGCGGGTAGTAAAATTTTCTATTTTAGAGGAACTAAATAGTTTGCTATTTGCCTGCAGTTGCTCAATAAAGGACTGCAATGCAAACACGATCATATTCAGTATAAACAGCACCCTGAATTTGGGCAGGTGTGATGTTTTGAACGTTCATTATGTTATTGGCATTTGCAGTTCATTTCCGATCAACTTGGGGAAAAATGTTCTGAGCATCTGCATCAGTCCCCCCTTCAGGTTTCGTGTCAGTCTTTTCTCTTTTTTTATACAGTGCTATGGTTACACAAATGTAACTGATTAGCGTTTGGGTAGCCTCTTATTCCAGGTTCTAATGTTGTTCAGTCTTTGTAATTAATTCACTCTCAGTACCCCGCCAGCAATGCGCTGGGTCCCGGCATATTCATTCTCTACCAAAATGTTAGTTTTGTACACTTTTCTTTTATTTTCACTGACATATAGGCAAAGGTGGAGAAGACATTAAAAGTACATAATTATCCAATAATTACATCCCCCCAAGAAAAACAGGTTTGTTCAACTTCAGACGAACAAACAGCTCATTTTTCTCAAGCATTTAGTAAGTTGTCCCAAACACACCAACGGAGCTTGATTTAAAAGCAGGACACAAAGTCTTGCCGAGTTAACTATTGGCCCCGAGATGTCTGTCCATTTGACAACAGACACAAGTGTCATCCATCCATGCTTTGAGCAGGGATATTGCCACGTAGCACAATTATAAGGTTAGGTTATAGGCTTTCAAATGATGTCAGGCATCAGCTGCGATAGCAAGTCATTGAAAAACAGCTTAAAACACGTCATCAGCAGATAGTATGGCTCAGTTTGTTGTAAATGATCATCATGTCATGCACTGGTGTTGAAATCCTTTTAGAGTTCTGTCACTGCCAGCATATTTTCTTACGCATAATGAGTCAACTTTTTAACCTCTACAGAAACTGCTGGGCCAAAGTCACAAAATTATTAGGCCTTGAATATTATCAAGGAATAAAACAGGTCATGGATAATACTTTCTACTTTACAATA